ATATTGGGTTCTAATGTTGACAAGGTATGGATTATATTGGGTTCTAATGTTGACAGTGTATGGATTATATTGTGTTCTAATGTTGACAAGGTATGGATTATATTGGGTTCTAATGTTGACAAGGTATAGATTATATTGGGTTCTAATGTTGACAAGGTATGGATTATATTGGGTTCTAATGTTGACAAAGTATGGATTATATTGGGTTCTAATGTTGACAAGGTATGGATTATATTGGGTTCTAATGTTGACAAGGAATTGATTATATTGGGTTCTAATGTTGAAAGTGTGTGGATTATAATGGGTTCTAATGTTGAAAGTGTGTGGATTATATTGGGTTCTAATGTTAAAAGTGTATGGATTATATTGGGTTCTAATGTTGAAAGTGTGTGGATTATATTGGGTTCTAATGTTGAAAGTGTGTGGATTATATTGCGTTCTAATGTTAAAAGTGTATTGATTATATTGGGTTCTAATGTTAAAAGTGTATGGATTATATTGGGTTCTAATGTTGAAAGTGTGTGGATTATATTGGGTTTTAATGTTAAAAGTGTGTGGATTATATTGGGTTCTAATGTTAAAAGTGTATGGATTATATTGGGTTCTAATGTTGACAGTGTATGGATTTTATTGGGTTCTAATGTTAAAAGTTTATGGATTATATTGGGTTCTAATGTTGACAGTGTATGGATTATTTTGGGTTCTAATGTTGACAGTGTATGGATTATATTGGGTTCTAATGTTGATAGTGTATGGATTAACCTGGGTACAGCTGTAAAGATTACATTGTTTATACTGGGTACAAACGATCTACTCACAGCCTGGTTTAAATGTGAAGCTTCACAGACTTAAACAGATCAGATTTCATAAACTGGCAGATGCTTCTTGCTGAATTTAACCCATTGGATCATCATCAGCTGTTAATGGTAAATTCTGGTAAGTTTGCTAAAAACGTCATGACATAAATATTAATCATATAAAAAACATCACAAAGATTTAAAAGACAGACAATCATAGACGAGTTAAAAATAAAACCTAAATAAACGTCGAATTAATTTTTTAATTTACTTCAATGCCTTTTGCAATGAAATACTTGCATAGGTGTAGATAATCACTCTATTTGGCAAAATATTTCTAATTTTAATGTAGGAACATTTTTGAAATTACTCTCTGAACAAACTTTCTTAGCAAAATTAATTTTTTTTTAAAAGATTGTTAAATTTCTTAGTTTTCTCTGAAAGGAATGATGTCTGAAGTCATTTTCAAATTCATGCTTAATTTTGTTAGAAAGTAGAGCAAGGATTAAGTCATTTGGGAGCGACATCCATTTACTTTTTCCACAGTGCTGTCCTAACTAGGAAATAAATACCCATGTGTGCGGATTAAATCTGTAATGAGTTAACGCTGAAGAAAATTTAAAAGGTTGAAGACAAATGCAAAAATTTTATTGATGTGTCCATAGATCTGAAAACCAGATAACTGTTTATATACATAAAAAAAAAAAATTAGTAATAATATTGGTTCCAATAGAATGTGTGGATGACTTGGTGACTGATTGATCACAAGATCTAAAAAAAGACAAGACCTTTGAAGTAGACATTTTCTATGGTCACTCCTCTTATGCTTTTTTCGTGCACTGACAAGTTTTTTTTTTGTTTAATGCAACTTTAAAATGTCCTTAAAATTAGCAAACTCCGAATCATTGGATTGTGTTAATATTTTGTTTCATTTCTGATTTTCTGTTTATGATTTATATTGTTTACTTTGTTTGGTAAGCATGTTTGGTGTCGAGATTAAATGACACAATCTTGTTCCAGTGTTTGTTTTTTTAATGACGTTTTGTGTAGGGAAGCGATCTATTTTGTTGTGAACAGAAATGGCTGTTGTGGAATCAGCTGATCAAGCAGATGTTGCTCAGATGCGCATGTTCCTTCCCCAGGTCTACAATAAGCCATTCACGGCATAACCAGATCTGAGGTGAGGATATATTAATGTCAGAATTGTTTACAAAAAAATTGACTTCCTGTAAGTAAGAAAACCTGTTTCTTGTAACAAATGACAAACCTTATATTTCTCAAATCGGTGAATTCAAAGAATAAGTTTGTGGAGTTATGCACAACTATGGGGGAGATAATAACTCTTGAATTTTTTAATGGACATTATTGGGGTTTTATTATGAGCTTAATATTTCACTGCATGGTAAGAGCGGGACGGTCATGGAACTTCAACAGAAATGTCATTCCTTTCAAAAGAAACGGGCAGTTTACCAATGTTTAGGATTCTAGTCACGTTTCGCATTTTCATATATTCTGTAATTATGTGAGAATAGAACGCTTTGATCAAGTTTTTAAATAAAATTTAATTTCATGCAAAGAAACATATTTTAGCTGATTTAAAGGTTTTTTTCAGGTATGTAATATATAGTTATTATCGTTGCAGATGCAATGATAAAACTTCCTAATGGTGGTTACACAGCGGCTTTCACAGCTAGCTTTCCCACAGTTAACTGCTGTCACAATACGGCAAGGTGAAACAGCTGATGTCCAGGGAAATGAACGCTTGAAACTGAAGTCACGAAAACTCCACAATGTTTGCCTTCATCCCGCCTCACACCTTGTGGCAATCCGTCAACAGTAACTCCCCGATGTGACTCTCCGATACAAGTGGACAGAAGTAAGAGACAACATAAGAGACAACATATAAAGCTTTTTATCTATATGATCCACGGCATGCGAGGCTCATTAGAAAGTTTTTTTCATTAGTTTCTTTGCATACATCTTTAACGATTAGAGTTTGTAAAAATCCTTTAACTACTTATCTCCAAAGGTGCACACCATTAGTACACGGAGTCATGTTTAGTAATGCTGGAGATTAGTTTATTGAAGACATTTATTAAGTCAATATGCATGCTATAAACTACATATTAGGCTATAAACGACATAATAGGCCAAGGGGGTCAAACTCAATCGCTCGGTGGGCCAAAACTCAAATCACATTTAAGGTACTGGCCGAACAGGATATTCAATAAGATTCAATTAGCGGATAATGAATCTTTTTTACCAAAAAATACATAGAAATGCAAAAAGAAAAAAAAGTTTTAATAATTAAAAATCATTGGCATATCCATTCTCGTTCTTATGCCAATTTGTCAGAGCTGGATGTTTGGAACATTGTAAAGGCTACAAAAACATGTAAGTTCATTTATGTTGGTAGTAACGATCTGTGTCTTTGATGTTCATATTCTCATGATGGATTTAACGTGTCCCATTACACTGCAGCTCCATTAGCTTCACCTGCAAATTTACAGGTGCAGATTCCTGCAGTGGAAGTGTGGTTGGTGTGACGGGGAATAGTGGTTTGTAGAATAGAAGTGACGGGGCTAGAACAAAGGTTGTGTGGTTAATTAAATTAGTTGAAATGGGTTACAAAAAACCTCGAAATTACATTTCTGTGCTTCAAAGTCACTCAAGCGTAGTGTGAACTCGGCGCGAAGGAAGCTAAAGTTTTTTAGCAAAGTGTGCATTGGGAAAAACCATAGCGTTTTCTTGGATATAAGTGTAAGCCGGTAAAGAACTCAAGGGTCTGATATAATTGTACAGCGGGCCGGATGTGGCCCCCGGGCCTTGAGTTTTACACATGTGTATTAGGCTATAAACTGCATATTAGGCTATAAACTAAATATTAGGCCATAAACTACATATTATTATATAAACTAAATATTAGGCTATAAACTACATATTAGGCTATATACTACAATATTAGGCTATAAATTACATATTAGGTTATAAAGTACATAGTATTCTATAAACTAAATATCAGGCCATAAACTACATATTATTCTATAATCTAAATATTAGCCCATAAACTACATATTAGGCTATAATCTAAATATCAGGCCATAAACTACATATTAGGCTATAAACTAAATATTAGGCCATAAACTACATATTAGGTCATAAACTACATATTAGGTCATAAACTACATATTAGGCTTTAAAATACACATTAAGCTATTAAATACATATTAGGCTATAAACTACATATATTACGCTATAAACTTCGTATATTACGCTATAAAAACATATCAGGCGAATACTAGATATAATAGGCCATAAACTACATATTGGGCTATAAACTATAGATTACGCTATAAAACATATCAGCCATAAATTAGATATCAGGCTATAAACTACTTATCAGGCTATAAACTACATGTATCAGGCTATAAACTACATGTATTAGGCTATGAGCTATATATTATGCTTTACACTAGATGTCAGGCTATAAACTAGATGTCAGGCTATAAACTAGATATCAGGCTATAAACTAGATATCAGGCTATAAACTAGATATCAGGCTATAAACTAGATATCAGGCTATAAACTAGATATCAGGCTATAAACTAGATATCAGGCTATAAACTAGATGTCAGGCTATAAACTAGATGTCAGGCTATAAACTAGATATCAGGCTATAAACTAGATATCAGGCTATAAACTACACATTAGAATACACGTATTATTATTATTGAAATGCCTATTAAAAAAAAATAAAAAAAATTCATAACCAGTAAAACTATTTCGTTCCTTGATCTATTTCACATTTAGATTTTTTTGTCCAAGTTTAGCCATCAAATCACTTTCACTGTACTTCAATATTACGCTGGTTGTGTTTGTTTATGTCTTTTTGTTTTTCTTCAATAGCTATCAAGGCATCACCAAGACAACCATGAATTATAATATCGCAGTCGAGGTGATGAAAGCGGTTAAGAAACTTTATTTACGTCACGAACTTGAAGATTTTGTCATTGAAATCGAAAATACTGAAATCAAGTGTCATCGCTTCATTCTTGCGTCATGTTCCGGATTTTTCAGTGGACTTTTCCGGTCAGGTATGAAGGAGGTGAAGAATGGACGTGTGACTTTGCATGATATATCTTGTGAAACATTCAAGCTAATACTAGAGATCCTGTACACTGGCAACGACATGATAACTGAAGATAATGCTATTGCCATCTGGCATGCCTCAAATCAGTTACAGATTGACTTCATGATTGAGTTATGTGAAAAGATGGTAGTTAGGATGTCCTCATTGGACAATTTTGAGGAAGTCTACAGAAACGCTAAGCTAATTAATTCAAAAGCTGTCCTAGGAGTCATCAAAACATTCATATTGGAACATTTCGTACAGATAAGAAAGATGAACACATTTTTTGAACTTTCATATGATGAACTTTTGGCATTGATAATTGATCACAAGCTTGTGGTAGAATCTGAAGATCAAGTCTTGGAATCGATTATGGAATGGATAGAATACCCTGACATTGAACAGTTAGAAGATAAACACCAAACTGTTAAAAGGAAATGTACTGAAGACATTCGAGAAAGGAGACAGGTTGCTGCTAAGATCGGTATTGAAACAAATTCATTCGTCAACAACGAATTAAATGTCGTGTCTGGTGTCAACACTGAACAATCTACCAGTGATATGGATGCCAAAAGATTAGATGATGTTAATAAGATTGTTCACCAAGGCGTTTGTCCCTCACCCCCTTTTCAATCTCAAGACGTCGTCACAGATGACAGTGACATGGAGCTATCCCCAGGACGAGGTCACGATAACACAGTCAGCAAATTAACTCAAGTGCTGGATCTCACTAAGACAAATTATCCGCTTGAACGGGTGAAACAAACGAAGCGCAAATTCGTTGGAGAACGACAGCCTAAGTTGGTGCCACTCTTAAACGCTGCGAGAATTGGTCTCGCCAGCGCTTCATTTCTAGAGAGTCTCTACAATCATCATTTGGTTAAAGAGAATTACAAAGCCAAAGATATCATTTTTAAAGCAGTTCTTCATCACTTTAAGAAATACAAAAATGGGACTTGGTCTAACGCTGGCTTGCACAGAGATTGTAGTAAATTTGGCAACTTTGGAGTAATCTGTTCTGGAGAAGGAATATTTGATGCATATTCAACAGTTGAAAATAGATTTTGTAAAATAACGAGTTGCGCAGATTGTAGTCTTCACGTTCACTTGGTCGTTTTCGACAATGAGTTGTATGCATGCGGTCAAAAGTCGATCACTGATACCACAAACAAAGTGTTCGTGTTCAGAAGAAATAAATGGACTAAAGTCATCGAAATAACGGGGATCCGGTTATTTCTCCTTTCTTATGAGAATTCAATTTTAGTCTTAAATAAGGAAAGAAAAATAGTTTCATTACTGAAACCAGAGGAAAGTTATAGACTGAAAAAGAATTTTGAGACTCTTCCTGAAAAGGGGACCTTTGAGTATGCCCTCATATATGGAAGTAAATTGCTTGTGTTTCTTGCAGAGAATGTTGAAGGTGTTGAAGAAACAGCTGTTCATTGTTTGGATTTAATCAATAAAACCTGGACCAAACTTGACAATCTTAAAGGGCCGGCCAAACATTTGATCAGTTTTCAAGACGATGAGACCAACTACATTATACAAAGAAATGGAAATGTGTGGAGATTGGTAGGGACCAAAGATAAACTTGTGTCATTTAAATTTATTGGAAAACTATGGACAGCCGATAGAATTTTACATGGCGCTGTGCTTTACAAAGATCAACTCACCTTACATGGAGACAGTCCAAAAAACTATCCTAAAGCTACAAAATTGGTTCTAAATGAATTTCCATATTCTTTAAATTATTGGGGTAGGAACGGTGCTTCTTCTAATTTCCTGCCTGTTATATTAGCCAAGAGTTGTCTTATCTCATAAAAATGGGGATGAGTGCACAAATCGGTGAGGAATGGATCAGTTTTCAAGATGGTGAGATCAACTACATATTACACAACAATGGAAATGGTCGGAGATTTGTCAAGAGCAATGATGAATTTTGCTTATATAGTTTTCTTACACTATTGTTGACATCAAATGTGTACTAGTCTGTGTACTACAGAGCTGACGTAACTTTATCTGTAGATGATACATAAACTTTATTTGGAGATGGTCCTGAAAGACATCCCGAAGAATCTAATAAGTTTCGTTCTTAAATTCACAAATTTTATAATACATTAGAGTAGTGGCAGCTGTAAATTACTAGACTAAAGACTGCTCAGAAATATTGGTGTAAAGACCGCGCTTGTTGCGATTTCAGCCTTGCAGAACAGCAGAGCGTTGTCTCAACATTGAAGAACTGGTTTTTTCATCATGAAACTGAATGTTGTCTTTGTGGAACTATTAGACTGGTGGCTTCTAATTATTACGCATTCGCTTTTAGATAACAATGAAATGTACTATTTTTTAGAATTTTTAAAATTTTAAATGCAATATATAATTTATAACAAGATTCAACATTTTTTTTTTTTTTTTTTAAATTTTGTTTTTTATACAGTTTTGTGGATTTAAATGGTGATACTATTCTTTCCCTTCAATTTATGTTTTATAAATTGTTTGTCACCATTTTGGGTTTTAAAAAAAATTAACTTTGGCTAATTTAATAAACAACACATAACAAGGGACCGAGAGAACAGTATGCACAAAAATATATGCGACATTCAATTTAATTATAAAAAATAAATTTCTATACTATTTCAACTAGCAGTAAGTGAACAAGTTAAACTCCTCAAAAAACAATAAATTTTACTTTATAGACAAATTATACACCGTCTTGTATATGTTGGAAAATATATTTTTAAAAATCTCGCTCTCTCATGCAATGCGTTGAAATATCTCAGTCTCTAAGAAACCTGCAGCCCTAGGCAGTTGGTTGCATTTATTTGTATCATGAGGGGGCTGTCAGATGCAGCAGCATTATTCTTAAGTAACAAGGACAATTTTATGGAAGAATTTAAGATAATATCCTCTATTTGACACTTAAAGAAATTGAATATGCCCTTCAAACACATGGACAGTCATTGGAAGATTTTGACTTAGAATGTCCAGACGAAACAATAATGATCTTAACAATCGAGAAAAATATGAAAATCCAGTATCCTTTCAAAATCATGTACTGAAGACATTCGAGAAACAAGTAAAGATAATGCTAAGAGCGGGGTTGAAACAAACTCATTCGCCAACAGTAAGTCAACGACCATGTCTGATTTCGCAACTTACCAATGTACCAATGATATGGATGCCAAAAGTTTAAGTAATGACAATAAGGTTGATGACAAAGTTGTTTGTCCTGAGCAACCATTACAACCCAAACATCTCTCAACAGATGACACTAACAAGAAGGTATACCCAGGACAGTCTCACGATAAAACAGACAGCACAGTTGATCAAGAATTGGATCAAATTGAGAAAAATGACCCACTTTAACGGAATAAAAATACGAAGCGCAAGGTTGATGGAGAGCGACATTCTTATCTAGTGCCACTTTTAGACGCTGCGAGAACCTGTCTAGCCAGCGCATCATTTCTAGGGCGTCTCGCCAAACATCGTTTGATTGAGGCGAATCGCGAAGCCAGAACTATGATTTTTAATGCAGTTATCTATCATACTGAGAAATATAGAAATGGTACATTTGGAGTTGTCTGTTCTGGTGAAGGAATATTCGTAGCTTACTCAATAACGGAAAATAAATTTTTAAGAATGACAAGTTGCCCGGACTGTATTCATTCCGTTCACTTGGTCGTTTTTGACAATGAATTGTATGCATGCGGTCGCATTTCTAGATACGAGGGAAAAAGTAAGCTGTTTCTGTTCAGAGGAAATGTATGGACAAAAGTCACTGAAATTACCGGAAGTCGGTTATTTCTTCTCTCTTATGAAGATTCAATTTTAGTCTTAAATATTGAAAGAAAAAGTATTTCTTCATTAAAACCCAAGGAAATGTATAAATTTCAAGACAATTTTGTGACTTTTCCTGAAAATGGGACCTTCGAATATGCCCTGATATATGACAGTAAATTAGTTGTGTTTTATGCAGAGACAGTTGAAGGTATTGAAGAAACATCTGTTCATTGTTTGGATTTATTGAATACTATATGGGAAAGACTTGACAATCTTGAAGGGCCAGCCAAATATTTAATCAGTTTTCCAAGATGATGAGAAAAACTACATAATACAAAGAAATGGGAATGTGTGGAGACTGTTAGAGACCAATGATCAACTTATTTCATTTAATTTAATTGGGAAACGATGGGCATCTGATAAATTTTGACATGGCGCTGTGCCTTGCAAGAAACAGCTAACTTCATTTGGAGATAATCCTAAAAAATAATACCCCAAAGATACTGAATTGGATGTCCTTAGATTTCCATATTCTTTAATTCTTGCGGGTCAAGATGGCACTTGCTCCAATTTCCTGCCTGTCACATTAGCCAAGAGCTGTCTCTCCCAAACAGATGAATAGAGATTGGCGAACAAATTGGTGAACATTATGGGAACTGGGCAACATAGGTTAACATCAATTATAATATGTAACTCTTTAAACATACAATTCTGTGTTCGCTTAGAGAAGACGACAAATATTTGGAGTGCATAGAACTTTACTAGGAACTAGAATGTGTCTTAGAATATTTATTGTAAAAACCAAACAGATACTTTTCAATCCTTTTTTAAATTAAAAAAGTACCCTCTTTTTTTACCACCAAAAATAATGTAACAATTTTAAGCTGTTGTTATATAATTTTCTTTCTTCTAAAGCAAAAAACAATGTTAAAATGGAGTCAAAATTCAATATATGTTAACACCTCACAAAATACACACACTTGATATATATAATGATATATTGATTAAAGAAAAGATCACAATGACAACTGGTTCTGAAGAAAATGACAAGGTTTTTTCGAATAACCTAAAAACTGAAATGTTGGGTAAAATGTTTGTTACCTCTGATGGTTATATAGTTTTGCACGATTAAATAAGCCTAGATCTGCATTTTTTTCAAATTTAAGTATATCATTTTATTACCATCATTTATAAATTAGATTTGTATGAGTGTAAGGGATCCTATTTTGGGAGTTCGGCCCCAGTGGCATCACTTCTACCAATCAGTCAAATGGATATGTTATTTAGTTGACATTGGTGAGGATTATAGTTTAAGGAGATAAAGATTTTAATATCACGTCATTGACGGAACAATTGTCTCTCACTTTAAAAAAAAATTGTTATCTGAATGTTAATTGAAACTTTCGATGTATTTCCACAAATATATGACTTTCTGAATTTCACCATCTATTTGACCTTCTGAATTTTCACAACTATTCGACCATTAGAATTGCCACAACTATATGACCTTTAGAAGCTTCCGTTTGGGTTCAAAGATTATTTTGTAAAATACACAAAAAATTTTTCATGTTAAATTTCGTGTGTCGTTAGTGATAAAATGTAAATCTATATTGTTGACCAGTGCTTATCATACCTTAAAAGCTTGGGGTGGTTGAAAGAATCTAGCTTCTATGTTCAGAGACAAATTTTATATTTTAATAAATTTAATACAGAAAGGAAACAGTAATTACTTGAAGTCCACCACCTATCAAGTATTGTATTAGTCAGTCAAACATTAAGGAGACTCAAAAGCCTTAAACATTGCGACTCAGACTAGACGTAGTTAACCGTTGACATCTATTAACAAGACAGAGATATCTATGGGCTGAGCTGGGCTTAATCAGGAACTGTGACATTCAAATGGTAATTTCGCGGTCGAAATACAAATGGTTGAATTTTGATACCTTCTGTTGTAGACAATTGCGTTTTTTAATTATTTTTTTAAATTCTTGGCACACTTTAGCGAAACAATTTATCGTAACAGCTCTAACTGATAAAGAGAGTGTTGACAATTTAATATTTTCTCAAATTTTAAAACTCCTCTTTGTATATTACAAATTCGTTATTTGAAGATGACGGAAGCTAAAGTCAGTAAACAAAACAAGTTTGAATAGCTTACTTTACGTTGATCTTTCCGAGAACACGTAGAAAGGATGATTGTGAATCACATGTGAAAGAACTGTTGATGATGTCATTAGTTTCAAGTTCATAACATACTTTGAATTGTAAATAAATATTTAGTTTTTTGTGTGCAAGAATGCATTCCTTATTTAGGTAAGATTCATGATTGAAATTGTCTCTTGGTTCTCATCATATTAAGTTTTGTATATGTGCACATGTTACATTAAGAAATGGCGTCAGCGGGGCGAGTCTAAACTCGTATGCCCCCCCCCCCCAAATTACCCCTCCCCGGTCTGACGTATCGGGCCGCGGAGCAGCACGTTGGAAATGCCCACTTGTCAGGACGGCCCCCACATGGGCCCCTCACCCAAGTCCCTCACCTGGGCGCTTGACCAGGACCCCGCCTGTGGGCCGCCCCAATGAGGAGGCACCCGGTCGATCCGACAATATGCGTTTAAACAGTGCACTCGATCGACTTTCTCAGGAGTTGGGATGGAAAAATTTACGTCCTAATATCTTCCCCCACCCATCCCGGGAAAGCGTCGGACGCCCTATAAGAGGGATTGCACAGTGGGCTTCCACAACGCGACTAGTTCACGCTGTAGCTGGGACGAAACGGTTGCCTAGGGGCAGCGTTCTCACGGCTGCATTATTTGAATCCTCGGCTAGAGGTTACCACCCTCGCCTCTGGCCTCATACCCGTCAACGGCAACTTGTAATCATGATCCCTACCCTGGCTCTGCCTAACTTTCCGACTGCGAAATATCACAACCGGGAGCCCTGTGGGAGCTGTTTTATGTACGGCAGGTACCGAGCACACCCTTTGTCTGCCCACGCGTTATGTTTCCAGGCAAACACCGAGGGGGTCGGATATGTATATGTGCACATACAAATCTTAGTGTTTACTTCAAATAGCTTTAAAGATGCAGTTCTTTGTCTTAGGCTCAACAAGAAAGGTTGTCAATCTTTGCTAGA